CAGCAGACATTTCGTCTTTCGCGAATTTTTGAAAATTCCAATAAACACTTTTACCTAAATACATATGTAAATATGCATGTATGTATTACAGTATAGCAGAGATGCTCAATTAATCAAACACTCAGGCAAAACCTTACGGATGGTAATTCCATTGTAAAATCTCTTAGAATTAACTAAATGTACTTAACTTAAGACTAGTAAATATAAAATTGAAAAATTAAAATGCAAACCAGAAGCATTTAAGAACCGCTCTTAAATCAAAAGGTTAATGTACGGTTTTATGGTAGGGGTGTTTTTCCTCAGTGTTTTGTTTGTTTTCAGTAGACTTTGCGGCAGCGGCGTTGCGTTGCTGAGAAAATCTGGAAATATGATTTGTGTATTTACGAGCCCTCTGTTTCGGTTTAAGCAAACAGCGAGCGCGTCTTTAACGGTTTTCGGGTGTTGCGTTCGCATGTTTGTGCACGTTGATTTTGTTGGCCGCTGTAATAAAGGCCAACAAGGTCAGGTGCAAACGAATTGCGAGTACGAGTGACGCCTGCGTGCCACAGACTCATTTCAGGTGCCGCATACAATTGCCGTGTGCATTTCAATTTGATGGTATAATTAAGCGAAGGCAGGCACGGGATGTCAGCAAGCTTTGCGTTTACGTTTTCTGTGTGCGACTGTTTTTCCTATTTTCCTATTTTCGTTTTGAGCCTGCTTCAGCCTGTTGTCAAGTGCAAGGACATTGCATGCACTCACCTCCTTGAGTGGGCGTGGCAAGTCCTGCCCGCAGACCGACAGCCACGTCATGGTCGCCCCAGACTGTGAGCCATAATGATTTAAGACTGCTGCCGCTTTAAGTATACGTAAATGTGGTAACAACTCACATTGCTTCCAGCAGGAATATAATCCGAGGCCGAAATTCGCGAGAACACATGTGCTGACTCTGCAAGCCACTAAAATACGATCCAAAAATACATGCCACATTTTCATTAAAGGAGTATATATTTTTTATTTACACTTTTTTGAATTTTCCCCCCCGAACTATCGATATTTGCTGGCAGTTGTGTGCTTTGATTTGTCCTTGTCAGATGGGGCCACTGTTCTACAAAATGTGCTATAAATGTATAACTTTCGTTTTAGCACTCTGTGCGAAGATACAACAAAATAAAAGGTATAAGTAAGTAAATGAGCTACAACAAGGCATTATGAATTCGTGATCTCTTTTAGTTATGATGTTATGAATACCAAATATGTTTAGATGTGCCTAAAAGTAAGCCACACAAATACCACCTCATATGCAGTTTGGTATAGTTTCCGAGCCGGTTGGTATATTTAAATGGTCAACGCTCGGTCACACTGCTAGAAATATCTTTTGGATAGTTTATTTTATTATTACGCGCAATCAACAAATAGCTCACCTTTCCAAAACGAATTAAACAGCGAACATGCAGTTCTCGTGGATGAAGGTAGCCATATACCTTCTAACGTTCCTAACGTACGCCTATTCAGGGTATGGATCCAGCACCATAGTCCATGTAAGGTGCACCTCTTTTCGAAGGGAATCCGTGAGAGATGCTATCTGTACTCCTGTATCTTCTCTCCCCGGATTTAGCTAAGGGATGCCATTATAGCCGCGGAGGCGCTCTTTGGTGACGTGTTCAAGAACCTGATAGTTCTGGTGCGCAAATTTCGCACTGTCCACGAGGTTTTCGACGCGGCCGTGGACGAGAACTGCATATACCAGTGCCCCGCTCCGGATATCGGAGGACCAGGTGTGGTGACGCATTTGGCATTATGTAAATTGCCCAGCATCTATATGTGTGTTTATCGGTTTCTTACAGCACCCAAGGCGGTTCAGAATAAGTTCTATACCCCCACCGCAGATGGATGTGGTTCCCTGGGCCTAAGGATCAGCACCGACTATCTGCCGGCCAAGGAGATGGAGACCTGCTGCAATGACCATGATATCTGCTACGACACCTGCAACAGCGACAAGGAGCTGTGCGACCTGGACTTCAAGAGGTGCCTGTACAAGTACTGCGATAGCTACGAGAAGTCCATAGCCAGCGATCTGATGATGAAGGGCTGCAAGGCGGCTGCCAAGATGCTATTCACCGGCACCTTGACCCTGGGATGCCGGTCCTATCTGGACTCCCAGCAGAGATCCTGCTATTGCGCACCCCCGAAGAGCTCCTCCTACAATGGCAATAGGCAGGGCAATAGCAATAGTAGGGAGAAGCAGCAGCGCCAGAAATATGGGTGGAAGGATCGCAACGAGATATAGTACAGGATCGCTTGCTAAGAGGGTGCGGGGCACTGGGGGTATCTGATTAAGCGTTAAATGTGTTATGTGTTGTGTTAGCCCTTGGGGTCCCTTGGACTCCCATTGCGACGAATTTCATTATTGTATACCAAATAGTGTCATGCCAACGGTCCAGACTGTTAAATACATTTATATTTTTACCTATCATAAAGATAATATATTTTAAAAGCTATCGTACGCTGATCCTGACGTGGTCCGTATGGCATTATATGTATATTATTTGTTAAATATATAATCGTCGGATCCGTAAACAGATTTTAACCAAGACAATGGTGTATTTAATTTATAAAGCTGCCTGAGCTGAATTGAATTGAATTGAATAATGAATATAATTATTTTGGACATCTTAAGTGTTGTCACTGAAATAAACGACTGAAGAAGTACAAATAAAAATACTATTATATTAATAATTTTGAGTTTAATTCTATGTTTACTTTAAAACTAAGAAGAAATTCAAATTAAATACGCAATATTTACCGGCTAAACAGTTATTTTAAAAAGACATTTCTAGCGGATTACAGCTAAAGCGCCACTCCAGATTACCAACACTACTTATTCGCACTACACAACACTGCACTGACTGAAACGAAAAAAAAAAAAAAACACCGATTTTGCAATCCGCAGAAAAGACTTATGAATAGTATTTTTATGCGGATGGCCAGCGCGCTGAAGACCTAAGATGGGCTACGATGTGAATCGCTTTCAGGGAGAGGTGGACGAGGAGCTCACCTGTCCTATCTGCTCCGGAGTGCTGGAGGATCCGCTGCAGGTTTGTTTTGTTTGCAAAGAACACACACCACGCATCATACATATGCATTAAATATACAACATACATATCTACCGATTCAGGCCGTAATGTGCGAGCACGCCTTCTGTCGGGGATGCATTAATGAGTGGCTAACCCGCCAGCCCACTTGTCCGGTGGATCGCAATGCCCTGACAACTGCCAACTTGCGGGCAGTTCCTCGCATATTGCGCAACCTACTGTCCAGGTGAGAACCACCCAACGCCTTTAACTCTCCACCCTTGTGAAACCTAACTAATCTTTGACCCCTGCCAACCAGACTGTCAATTACCTGTGACAATGCGCCTTATGGCTGCACGGCTGTTTTAAAGCTAGACGCCTACAATTCCCATCTGGAGGAATGCATCCACAACCCGAAGCGACCATTTCCCTGCGAGAAGGGTTGCGGCTTTGACATACCCAAGGATGAGCTAAAGGACCACAACTGCGTGCGGGAGTTGCGCACTTTAATTGTCAAGCAGACGGAAAAGATGGGTGAGCTCAAATCGGAGCTCACCGACCAGCAGCTGACTATCAACGAACTGAAGCGAGAGCTGCAGCTATTCAAGGACTTTATGCGTGCCATGCGCGTCTCCAATCCTGCGATGCGGGCCATAGCCGACCAGATGGAGCGCGACGAGGTGATCCGATGGAGCAGCACACTGCCTCGGGCCAGGGTTACGCGCTGGGGAGGAATGATCTCTACGCCCGACGATGCACTGCAGGTAAGCAGCTAAGTATGCATTTATAAAAACGTAAATTCACATACATTTGATAGCTCATGATCAAGCGCGCTTTGTCCGAGTCGGGTTGTCCGCCACACATCCTGGATAGTCTCATGGAGTTCTGCCACGAGCGACGTTGGCCCCGAGGTCTCAGCTCGCTAGAGACACGACAAACCAACCGTAGGATCTACGACAACTATGTGTGTCGACGCATTCCAGGTAATAAGCTGAAATCCTGAATCTAGCAGGCTTTTCCTTAAAATGTAATTTCTTGTAGGCAAGCAAGCTGTGCTCGTTTTGAGCTGCGACAACCTCCACATGACTGAGGACGTCATGATCGATCCAGGTTTGGTCATGATCTTCGCCCATGGCATCGAGTAGGCCTTCTGCCGCTGATTAACCACTTATCCTAGGTTAAATGCTAACTATATCGAACAGTGCTCAGTTTTGTTGATTCCTTAACTTAAGAATAAGCATTAAAAACAATATTGTAAGGAAAAACTCGCAAAACAAACCATTCAAGCGCCTCATGACGACTTTCAAGTTGTACAAAAAATATATATTACTTTCGGTTCATTGTTTTTCCCCATTTAGTTAGTACGCAAATTCGTATACTTCATTAAATCGTTCGCATACCCAATAATTTATGTTTGATTAAGCGATCTCAACAAATGTCCCTTCGTTATCGTTCACTTCATTCCCATTTTGATGGATAGAAGCTGTGAGTGTCTTAATTCGCGTTTAAATTCTTATTGCTCCATACTTAAAATTCTGAGCTATTTGTCAATACTTTTAGAATAAATGTGGAACAAGTAATAAACAGTTTATTTAACTAATGTATTCATGGAAGAACTTATTACCATAATTAACTTACTCATTGCAGTACGAGATTTGCACTTATTTCAAATTCTTTTTTAATTATGAAATAAAATTGTAATGCTAAGTTACAAAACATAAATCCATTTATTCATTATTGAGGGTATAGCAATACTCTTCCATATATTTAAGTAATTAAAACAATTATTTTTCTGAAAGTTTGTCTAACCTCTTAGATTAGAAATAGTAATAAAACTGATTATTCCACTTAAACTATCGGTTCAAGCCCCTTATCAGCAGAAAGGGCAGGCCAGCATATGCATTTAGAAATCCGACACAAATGTTCACTGGGTTGCCGCCCACTTGGAAGCACCAACACATTGGAGAGATCTGGCCGCCCCCACTCTTGGGACCCGTAAAAGTTCTGGACAACATCTGTTTCCCGAAAAGGAAATCGAAAAGCAATAAAAACCAGGCACCTCCAAGCAACAAAATAAACAAAAGAAAACCAAACTAGTTCCTCCTCGAGCTTTGGATGCAAACCGGTTTCGGCTTTTGTACACCCGTTTTGTTTTTTCCTACATAATACAACATTATACAAAGTTTGCATCTGTTACATGTGCCAAAAATCGTTTGATTATACAAGCCAGTTTTCGTTTAATTTTTTTTTCGTATTTGCCGGAACATCTTGAATATCGATAGAAGCAATTAGCGCCATCAGACCATAGGGGCAGCCCCCTGTGGCGACTGAAAGTGAGAGTTGATCGGCCGCTGGGACAGACTGAAATACATCCAACAGTTGATCGCGAAGCGGCGCAGCCAACGGACGTGTCCAGCTGCGACCTAAAGAAGGAAACTAATCTAATCGAAGAACCCGAAATGAATCTATCAATTCCGGTGCTATTTGTGGCCCTCATCTGTCTGGGAGCTGTATCGGCGTTTCCCCAACTGAGGCAGCGCAACGAGAAGCAGGTCCAAACCGGCGATGAAGATTTGCGTACGTTGATTTTTAAGTTTTTTGACCGCAGAAAACAATGCTAGGGACTTACAAAACTTGGCAAAACTTTGCTCCAGCTTGTATTGGATTGTACAATTTCCTTAATTCTTTTCGAAAATAATATTTTACAAATCCCATAATGGTTCACAAATATCTATCTAAAAAATTATGTGTATGTGTATGTATATACATTCAAACATATGGGCATATATTCAAATAGTTTGAACATAAAGCAACATATTTCGTAACATTATAGATATCGGCGAACAATTTGAACACTAAACATGCAATTATTCGGCTTTTATTAATTGCAAAATGAATAGAGTTTTTTATTAGCTTTAGCTCCAACACTTAAATAATGTATAAAAATTTGCATTTTACAGCCTCCAAGGGCGCAACAATCGAGGAAGTAGTTGTGGAATCAGCCTTGTACATAAAACCGAAGTCAAACCCACAAGTACGACGCGTTCGTTCAGTCCTCGACCAAATATCCGGAATCAATGCTGCTCATAAGAGGGTGAAGCGTCAGTTTGGGCGACAATTTGGTGGTCAGTATGCTGGAAACCCCGGATTCGGCGCCGGATTCGGTGGCGGGCCTGGTTTTGGAGGTGGATTCGGCGGTAATCAAGGATTCGGAGGTAACGAGGGATTCGGTGGTAATCGAGGATTCGGCGGTAATCAAGGGTTCGGTGGAAAAGTTCAGGCAGACACATCGGCCGGCGCTGGGGGAACCAAAGCGGGTGTTGATGTGGGAGCCGGACCCCATGGTGGCAATGCCAATGCCAACGTCGAGTTAAATCCGCTCGGACCACTCGGACCCGGTGGCTACAACCAGGAGCAGGCCGCATCCAACGGAGCTGCCCACAGCAACTACAACAATGGACTCAACTTTGGATCCTCGGCCGCCAGTGGGCAGGCTCAAGGCTTCCAGTCGCAGAGTGCCAATGGATCATTTGGTGCCTCCTCGGCTAGCACGGCTACTCAGTCCCAGAACACCAGCCCCTTTGGGTCCAATAATGCGGCAGGTGCTTCGCTGAGTCAAGTGTACCACCTTCCCAATGGGCAGACAATCGACTTTAGCTCCACGACCAGCTTCGCCAATGGAGGAGCAAACCGCGGCAGCAGCCATGGGTCGGCAGTTTCTGTCAGCGGCTAAAAGCAAAATCCGGACTACAGGGAAAATACCTCCAAGTTAATCTATTGGTCAGCAATCCTATGTGCAAATGTCTATAAAACCCAAATAAATATTTATGATTGAATTGAAGATAATTTGTGATAATTCATTAAACATTCAATGGTCTTATTTTGATGATCAAGACTACAAATTATTTACAAACTAGAATTGGTGCAAACGAAATTTAAAAGCATTAAAAAATACACGAATTGGCATTGTTAACTATTAAATATTAGTCCTTTTGGTATCAGCCAACTACATATCTCGTTTTTGTTAGTTTTTATTATTTATTTTTTTTGTTTTGTACGGATCACTGAATAGAATTATACTCGGTGGTGCTCGTACAATTTTGCCCTACTAAAGAAATACAAGAAATTATTGCTACAATTGATGGGAGTAAATTGTAAAATGATTGAATTTCATTTGCGCGGACATGCCCAAATAATGATCCTTAAGAAAACTAATCTGACTCGCTCTCGCTTTCCGACTGGAAGTCACCCACTTCGATGGAAAACTTGTACTCTTGATCGCAACCCAAATAGGAATCGCTCATGTAATACAGAGTGTAGTCGTGTTTACCCGGGCTAGGGGCCACAAAGTCCAGCTTGACCTTTGCCTTTTGCTGCAGCGTGAGCCGTTTGATGGAGAGCAGGGAGTTGGTTTTGGGATCACCTATGACGACCCACCATCCTTCTTCGCGCTTCTGCGGGAAGAATGGGGCAATGACTGGGCCAGTGACCTCATCCTCACGTTCCAGTTGAACCACTACATTAACGGTTGATCCTGAGTTGATGCGATCTTTGTCCACGACTTCATAGTTCAGCTCAATGTTGGGGTACCGGTTGCAGAATCGAGCTACATCGGCCATTTGTAAATCGGAGAGCTGCAGCAGGCGAGTGCGATCCTCATCCTCCAGTTCCATGATATCGAAAACGGTTTCGATTTTCTGGAATATAAAACGAAAAGTTGAGATAAGCCTGGAGATTGTAGTGTGGTTATTCTTACCTTGTCTGTGCACCGCTTGACAATCTCCGAACTAAAGTGCGGCAACTGTTTCAGATAAGAGTCCTTGCTCCACATTGCCTGCGTGACCATCTGAGCCAGCTCCATGGCAGCCACAGCCGGTGAAAGCCAGCCATTTGAACTCAGCACATCTACGCAAGCCTGAATCAGGCGAATGGCCTTGCTTAGTATCTGCTCCGTATCGCCTTGCAGTTCGGGTCCCAATTGCAATCGCGAAAGATGAGCTTGAAGCAGCAAATTGGTCTTGATATGCGGATCATTGAATCTGAAATTATGTTAGTAAGGTTCCTTTTCCAAATCTAGATAAATGGCTTGCTTACTTGGGAGCCGTTTCATTGGGTCCTGTGAGTTTGTTGGGCAGTCGCTGAGACAGCGTGCGCAGAACCTGCTCCTCATGATGCCTTACCACCACATCCTCGTACTCAGCTGCCGATGAAATGATTTCCAGCAGTCCACGCACTTTTGTTTTGCTATTGAGGGACAAGCTGAAGAGCTCTGTGAAAACATGATAGGGAAATGAAGATGACAATTGCTTCAACTTATATCTACTGCTTCATACCGATAGTTGTATAGTTGATGTAATAGTAGGCAGCAATCATGCCCAGGTTGAGAGGCAGGGTGTCCATATCATCTTCCACGCTGATGCACTTCGACTGTTCTAGATCGCTTAGCGTATTCTCCACCAACTCCGAAAGATGGTCGGAGAGATGGCGATGCGTGACGCCCTGCAGATTGTAGTAATTGGGATTTTGGGTCAATCTTCTGTAGAGGAACGTCCAGGTGAGATAATCCACAGCATCCTGTTTGTTCTCGATTGTCTTGGTGACCACCTCGGCGTTAAAGTGATCGTGCATTCTATGATCCAGATGACTTTCGATGGGCAGCGGCTCGTTGATGAATTTCTTAAAGAAGTCCTTTTTGCTGCTCTGGCACATCAGCACGCACTTGGCATCCGCATCGTCGTTGGGTCGATTGGCTCGACCAATCATCTGCAGCACGTCTGTAATGGGATAGTCCTCATACGAATGGTTCTTGCCGTTGTAAAATTGTGTGTCCATGATGATCACCAAGTGAGCGGAGATGCTCATGCCCCAGCAAAGATCCCTGGAGACAACTGCTACTTGCACAGCGCCAGAGTCAAAAAGCTGCTCCACCAGGCGATGATCTGAGGCGGATAGTCCCTCATGGAGATAGGCCACTCCTTGCGCTAGAGTCTCCTTCAAAGTTTTATCCGTCATTCGCTCAAGGAATGGCTTAATGTCCTCCTCCTCAGCATGGAAGAATCGATTGGGTTGCAAATCCGATGCTGCGTAGGTCAGAACGTCAATTGCTGTGAGCCTGGCCTGCTTTCTGGACGAGACAAAAACAATCACCGGCTTGTGGGCGCTGTACTTGAGGATGGCATTGTAAACAGGCTTCGACATCGTGGCGATTCTTGTAGCGTTGTGGGTGACATTATAGCCTTGGATGTGCAGCTCCAACGGAATGGGACGCACGCTTGGGTGGAAATTGAATGTGGCATTGGGATTACAGCCCAGCCACTGGGCGACGTCCCTGGCATCCGTTAGCGACGCAGACAACGCCACTATTCTGATCTGTTTCTCAATTTGTGAGCTAATGTATCGCATCCTAGAGCATACAATCTCCATAACAGGACCATCCTCGCCTCCCACAAGCTGCAGTTCGTCCACAATGAACAGGTTCACCAGTTGCACGTTCTTCCTCTGTTTCCATCTACGAGACAACACATCCCACTTATCCGCAGTAGTGATCACCAGCTGTCCCTTGGCAATAAGCTTAAGATCGGTTCCAGTTTCGCCGGTCAATTTAACCACTTTTATATCCAGCGATCCAAATTTGCTATGCCAGTCAGCAAAAACCAAATCCGCCAAAGCCTCTTGTGAGACCAAATAGACACATCGGGCATCGGTTTGAGTGGTGAACAAGCGCATGATGGCAAACTCCGCAATAGTCATCTTTCCGGATCCTGTTGGTGCTCCAACGAAGACATTTTCATCACTATTGTAGACTGCATTGAAGACCTGTGTCTGAATGGGATTGAATTGCGGAAAGCGTTGTGAATAAAACGACTCAAATTTCGGCTGCCGCAGTGCACTAATAGGAAGTGGTTGGAGATCCAACAGCTCCGTAGGTGGCATATTCTTCTCGGGCAGAATTAAGTGTCGGAAAGAAACTGGTAATTGGGTCTCTGCTCCTATCCAGCGATCTGAGACAATGCGAAGGAAGTACTGCGGTGGCAGAGGTTCAAATACAGGCACAAAGAACTTAAGCTGGTGCTCATCTTGGGAATACTTTTGCTTCAGCAGGAAAAACTCGTGATGGAGAATGAGTTCCGAGTCGACATCTTCAATTAAAACCCAAAAACCTTCCGACTGGCCATGCACCTTCTCATCCCATTGGAAATCCGGTGTAATGGTGAGTTCCACTCTCAGGGTTCCCCTTGTTATAGGTTGAATGTGCGTGGAGAGCTCCAATTTGGGGAACTGGTGCACAAACTTGTGGATAGTTTTTCCTAGCTTGGGCACTCTAATCAGCTCACCAAGTTCATGTGGCTCTAGATCATAAAGCCTGCCCCAAGGGAAGTGTTTTTTCTCCAGTTTCTTGGCAATCTCATCGGGCATCTTCTTGAACTGCCTTAGTGGAGTCATCGATTGCCACATTCTTCTGTCAATCATCTTGCAGAGCGTCAACGTTTTGTCCGCCAATTGAGCCCATCCGCGGGTCAATACAATCTCAAAAATGGCCCTCATTAGACGGGCAGCGGATTGGGTAATGAACACCATATCCGACATCAATGCAAAGCCTTCCAATTTCAACTGGGAGATATAAGCTTGCAGCAAAACATTCACCTTGGCGCTGTGCTCCTCAATGGACTCCTTAATGGGAATGGGTACTCGTTCCATGAGCTTCTGCAGCTCCAATTTTTCCTCTTCTCTGACGGAAATATGTCGGAATTCCGAGGATAGGGAGAATACGCGGAATAACTCGATCTCACTAAGAGTTTGCTTAAGCAGCTGGTTGTAGGTCAGCATGGTTTCATGGGTCAGGTAATAGTGGGAGGCAATGCGACCCAGATCAGTCACCTGGAAGTGTCCCGTCTTTCGATCGTATTTAATAAGACCACTCCTCTCCAAGCAGCAAGCTGCGGTGTGCAGGAGATCAGCCCGATGCTGCTCCAACAGAGGATCCGCCTTAATGGCATCGTGGGAAACTCCGTATAACGTGGGATTCCTCAGCATTCTAATATACAGATACGTGTAGCCCAACCAGTTAACTGCATCCTGGAGATGTTGGACCGTTCCTAGCACAATCTCTGCATTCAGCATGTCAGGAAGCTTGGAGATGAATTGGGACTCTATCGGCAACTGCTGGTTGAGCAAGGAGAGATAGAACTGCAACTCACTGTGATTGGTTATAAGAATACCCTCACCCTTGGTGTCATACTGGGGTCTTCCAGCACGACCCAACATCTGCAGAACATCCAAAGCACTCAGCTCCACCCAACGTCCTTTTTCCGGATTGTATACCTGCGTGCCCTTGATGATTACAGTGTGGGCAGGCAGATTCACTCCCCAAGCTAGAGTGGCGGTGGAAACCAAAACTTGAATGTGGCGATCAGCGAATAGATCTTCCACCAAAGTACGATCGACGCGGGTCATTCCAGCATGATGAATGGCGAAGCCGTAGGGCAATAACTCCTTTAGCTCGGTGTTCTTTACTTGCTCGGCTTCAGTACGCAGCACTTCCATGCTTGCAGATCCTTCCTTAAGAAAGCTACCGAGGGTATCTTGCTCCAGGCACATGTCCCTCACGGCTCTGGCCGTTTTTCCAGTCTCCTTGCGCGAGTGTACGAAAACAAGGACTTGATTACGCCCAGCATGCTCCATGGTCTTCTCATAAACAATCTCGTTCATCACCTGGAAGCGTTTCAGGGCCTTCTTCTCCGTCACACCGATATACTGCTGCTCCAGGGACACAGGTCGATAGCTGTTATCAAAGTAGAACAGGCCTTTATCGGGCTTTACGCGTAAGAAGGTGGCCACGTC